AGTTGAGTCTCTCTGTCAGTGGGGGGGGGGGGGGGGGGGGGGGGGGGGGTAGTGGTAGTCTCTTCTTCCCTTTGATGCTCCAAGTTGGGGATGGGCCCTCAGCATCCTCACTTACAATGCTGGTCTGCTGGTCCTACATTGCATGTGATAATGGCAGGGGCGTATTTACAAGGCAAACAAGGCACTTGCCTAGGGTGGCATTTTTTAGGGGGCAGCACCTCCCCCAGAAGAAGGGATGGAAAAAGGGACACCATGGGAACCAAGTGGGATCTGAGAGGCTGAAGGCTGCTTGATGGTGTATGTAGAGCCTGGCTCTCCTTTCCAGGAATGTCTGGAGTTGTGAAGATGAGTGTCTCTCTGTCGCTGGGGGAAGGGAGGAGTGGAAGGCTCTCCTGGGTGGGTGGCAGGGGTGTTGTTGATCAGTCAGACTCTCTCCGCAGAAGGGGGACAGGGGGGTGGTGCTGGTTGGTGTCTGTGGGGGCAGACAATTTTTGTGTGCAACTGTTGGAGCACCAAACACACAAAGCTTCGGGGGACTGGACACACAGCAGGAGCAAAGGATAAGGTAAGTACTGGCACCGTAAGTAAAAATGAACACTTAAAGTGGTTGTAAACCCTTCCATATACCCAGTGACGTGACAGCAGATAAACAGGTACAACTTATGTAGGAGGATTTATTATTCTCTGTGTATCACCTTGCCTTCTCTACAGCCATTCAAAGTGCTATATTTATAAAGCTTGTCTGAGAGTTCAGAAAAAAAGGGCAGGGAGCTGAAATTACACTCTGCAGAGCTCCGTGAGGAGAGCTCTGGGAGATGAATGGAGGGAAGAGACCCCCCCCCGCCCCCTCCCTCCCTCCACACAGCACAGAGGAACAGAGCTGAGGCTGTCAATCAGTTGGAGATCCCTCCCCTGTCACCATTCTTCTCTTGGTGTCCAGAAAACTTGTCAAAAGTGACTCATGCTGATAGCAGAGGAAGGAAGCAACAGACAGAAGTGACACTTAATGCTCTGGACGGAGACAAGTACACATCATAGAGGGATATGCTTTGTTCATATTTCACATCTGAGGTTTACAACCACGTTAACCAGGGTTGCACCAATACGAAGCATTTGCAGGCATACTCATCCTTGTGCAAACGCTCCAATACCTGAAACTGGGACCTTTGCGGTGGGACTTGAGCCCATACAAAATGAATGAGCTCAAATCGCACTGAAAAGAATTGTTGAGATTCCTGTCCAAATCACATGCAGTCACCCCCGCCGATCCTGTGTGAACCCAACCTTGTCATAGTGCCCGGGTTCACACAGGAGCGGTGCGGGAAACTGCATGCAATTCAGGCAGGAATTGCAACATATTCCTGCTCAAATTGCGATTTTTTGCACGCATACGCATCCTTGTGCAAATACTCCAATACCTGAATCCAAATCACATGCGGTCTCCCCTGCCGATCCTGTGTGAACCCAACCTTGTCATAGTGATTTCAGCCCGGGTACACACAGGAGTGGTGCGGGAAACCGCGTGAGATTCGGGCAGGAATTGCAATGTATTCCTGCACAAATTGCAATTTTTTGCACACATACTCATCCTTGTGCAAATACTCCAATACCTGAAACTGGGACCTTTGCGGTGTAACTTGAGCCCATACAAAATGAATGCGCTCAAATCGCACTGAAAATTGTTGCGATTCCTTTCCAAATCACATGTGGTCTCCCCCGCCGATCCTGTATGAACCCAGGCTTGTCATAGTGCCCGGGTTCACACAGGAGCGGTGCAGGAAACCGCATGCGATTCGGGTAGGAATTGCAACGTATTCCTGTTCACATTGCATGCGATTCTCTGCAGTGTGATTTCAGTCCATTAATTTTGTATGGGCTAAAATCGCACGGCAAAGGTTCCGGTAATCGGTATCGGCAGGTACTCGATCACAATTATCGGTGCATCCCTAACTGCTGCATGGAGCAGGGGATCTCACTGCATTGTTTTTTCATATACCTGGAGTTGCGCTTCAAAGTAAAGGTGTCACCAAAAAAGAATAAAAAAAAAAACACACAAACTTCCTTGAGTACTTGTCTAAACTGCTCTTAGCTTCAGCAAGCCGCAAAATCTCCGGGCCACCATCTTTGATGCTTCATGATCAGAGGTGTCCCTAGGGTTGGTGTCACCCCTCCAGAGAGGAAGGAGCGGTGCAGTTATTGGGGTGATCCCGGATTCCCAGCACCGTGACAGCTGCCCCCGGTGTAGCAGTAAAATGAGGATCCCGTGAAGATGTGGATCCCCTGAAGCAACTGCGCATGTGCCGGTTTCAGGCCGAAGAAGCCGATTGCCAATCTCCAACTTTAGCACACAGTTAACCCCTTAGACCAGGGGTGGGCAACCTGCGGCACTCCAGCTGTTGCAGGACTTCAAGTTCCATCATGCCCTCTGTAAGTCATAGCTGTAACTGTCAATTTTGCAATGACTCATGGGAAATGTAGTTCCACAACAGCTAGAGAGCCGCAGGTTGCCTAATCCTGGCCTAATGCAGGCCATAGACGGGTCGAAAAGCTGCCGATTTCTCGTCCGAAAAAAAAAATTGGCAGATTTTCGCACCATTTGTGGGTTAATTGGTCGGCCGTTTTTTGGGATTTTGGCACATTTTTTTTATCGGTGACGTTGGAAAAAACAATCGGCTGATTTTCCCGGCAATGATGGGTTGGCCAAAACCAAAAAAAAAAAAAATGTGCACATGAGCCAAGAAGAAAAAGAAGAGGGAGAAAAAGAAAAAGAAGAGGGAGAAAAAGAAAAAGAAGAGGGAGAAAAAGAAAAAAGAAGAGGGAGAAAAAGAGAAAAAGAAAAAGAAGAGGGAGAAAAAGAAAAAGAAGAGGGAGAAAAAGAAAAAGAAGAGGGAGAAAAAGAAAAAGAAAGAGGGAGAAAAAGAAAAAGAAGAGGGAGAAAAAGAAAAAAAGAAGAGGGAGAAAAAAAAAAAAGAAGAGGGAGCAAAAGAAAAAGAAGAAGAGGGAGAAAAAAGAAAAAGAAGAGGGGAGAAAAAGAAAAAAAGAAGAGAGGAGAAAAAGAAAAAGAAGAAGAGGGGAGAAAAAAGAAAAGAAGAAGAGGGAGAGAAAAAGAAAAAGAAGAAGAGGGAGAAAAAGAAAAAGAAGAGAGGAGAAAAAAGAAAAAGAAGAAGAGGGAGAAAAAGAAAAAGAAGAAGAGGGAGAAAAAAGAAAAAGAAGAAGAGGGAGAGAAAAAGAAAAAGAAGAAGAGGGAGAAAAAGAAAAAGAAGAAGAGGGAGAAAAAGAAAAAGAAGAAGAGAGGAGAAAAAGAAAAAGAAGAAGAGGGAGAAAAAGAAAAAGAAGAAGAGGGAGAAAAAAAGAAAAAGAAGAAGAGGGAGAAAAAGAAAAAGAAGAAAGAGGGAGAAAAGAAAAAGAAGAAGAGGAAGAAAAAGAAAAAGAAGAGAGAGGGAGAAAAAGAAAAAGAAGAAGAGGGAGAAAAAGGAAAAGAAGAAGAGGAGGAAAAAAAAGAAAAAAAGAAGAGGAAGAAAAAAAAAAGAGGAGGAAGAAAAAGAAGAAAAAAAAAAGGAAGAAAAAGAAGGAGGAAAAAAAAGAAAAAGAAGAGAAGAAAAAAAAAGGTAGAAAAGAAAGAAGAGGAAGAAAAAGAAAAAGAAGAGGAAGAAAAAGAATTCCAGTCCGCTATTATATTTGACATAAAAAAAGTCTTGCGGTTGCAACAATGTATCTGAATAAAACCATCTGTATCCAAAATGGATACATTGTTGCAACCACAATACTTTGTCATGTCAAATATAATAGTGGTGCCCTTGAATCCCTCTTGTATTGAATCTGTATTGTTGCTGTATTGTCTCCCATCATCTTGTAAAGTGCTGAGCAAACGTTCGGCGCTCTATAAATCCTGTATAATAATAATATCAAATCTAATAGCGGGAGCTCTCTGCAGGGACAAAAGTAATTAAATGCCGGCCGTAGACGGAACGAAAATCAGCCGATTTTTTTTTACCGTTGATGGTAACGTCGGCCTATTGAACGCCCGATTTTACGTTTTAAAAAAAAAAAAAAAACGTCCGGTTTTTCGACCCGTCTATGGCCTGCATTAGAGGCTGCAAACCACTGAAGCTGATCCCGCGGATCACTACGGGTTGCAAGATCAGTTAACCCCCATATTGGTTGAACCTATACGGGGTTAACTGATCTTTCAACCCGTAGTGATCCGCGGGATCAGCTGTTTGCAGCCTCTAAGGGGTTAACTGTGGCAGCTCTGTGCTAAACTCAGAGATCAGATAAAACCGCCACATTTCTTCGGGGGATACTCATTGTACCGCTACACCGGGGGCAGCTGTCACTGTGACGGGAATCCGGGATCACCCCAATAACTGGCCAGAACCTTCACAGAGCCCAGAAGCTCTGCTGGCATCCTGCTCCTGCACCCCCTGTGATGGTGTCACCCGGTGCGGCCCGCACCCCCCTAGGGACACCGCTGTTCATACTTTCAATGGCCGGCTCACTACTTCTTGCCTCCTGTGCCTTCCTATTGGTCACTGAGGCTGTTCATACCTGTTACCAGGAAGGCAGGGCAGGCAAGAGGGGGCGCAACCGACTCCAATGTGTAGAAGTGGCCATTTAGGGTGCTCAGGATTTCAGGGGGTCAGTGGTACTTTTGTAGAGTGCTCAAGGTGTTGACAGGCATCTCTAAGTACACATGTGATCAGATCACCCTATTCAGTACATAACATCTATATCCTCCATTGGATGTAATAGTTGGAAGGAGCCTTGTCAAGAACAAACATACGGGTGGTATAATGGGAGGAAAAAAGCAAGGACCATTCAGATCCATTGACAGATAAGGAATGACAGTGCCTAAAAAGCCCAATGTGGCATGCTGGGAGTTATAGTTCTTCACAGTCTGACGTGCTGCAGGTTTTCGGACACATCCACGTGCTGCAGATCAGATCCTATGTGTTGAAGGAAGTGGTCAGGAAGAATGAAACAGGGACCGCCGGTCATCCCTAACCAGCACGAGCAGAGAAGTACGGCAGACTGCGGATGAACATGTCTAGTTTGCTCTTGAAAAGTTCGCTTTGGATGGGCTCGTTGAGGGCACACAGGGCATTTTTCACCACGTATTCCACGTAAATCTGCGACAAAGACAAAGAGAAAGCGACGTCATCATGTCTGATGCAGCTGTATACAAATGATTATTCTTTTTAGCCGGTCAGGTTGTGTGACAAGTAAAGAATATATGTAAAGTATAGAAAATGTAAAGAATATTCCCATTATTATTATTATTATGATGTGTTTCACAACTATCACTGTGGTTGCAGCACGCAAGAGACCTGGACCAATGATCCAACACAGGGGGGTTGATGACAAGTGTCATCATATTGTGCTCCTTCAAAACAACCACACTGCCTTTTTCCAGAGCAGCCAGGATTTTTCTTGTGGTTACCTATGGGTTTCCCTTTGTATCCTGAACAATTCTGATGTCAGTTGTGGCTGCAATCTCTCTTGGTCTACCTGACCTTGGCTTGGTGCAACCCTCTCTCTTGGTCTCCCCGGACCTGACACTATGGCCGCTCTCCCCGGTATTCACAAGATTCACCCTGCATTCATATATCCGCTCTCCCCGGACCCTGCATTCACTATATCCGCTCTGGTTCTCCCGCTCTCCCCGGACCCTGCATTCACTATATCCGCTCTCCCCGGACCCCGCATTCACTATATCCGCTCTCCCCGGACCCCCGCATTCACTATATCCGCTCTCCCCGGTCTCACCCGGACCCCGCATTCACTATATCCGCTCTCCCCGGACCCCGCATTCACTATATCCGCTCTCCCGGACCCCGCATTCACTATATCCGGTCTCCCCGGACCCCGCATTCACTATATCCGCTCTCCCCGGACCCCGCATTCACTATATCCGGTCTCCCCGGACCCCGCATTCACTATATCCGCTCTCCCCGGTTCACTATATCCGCTCTCCCCGGACCCCGCATTCCTATATCCGCTGGACCCCGCATTCACTATATCCGGTCTCCCCGGACCCCGCATTCACTATATCCGGTCTCCCCGGACCCCGCATTCACTATATCCGGTCTCCCCGGACCCTGCATTCCCCGCACTATATCCGGTCTCCCCGGACCCCGGGTCTCCCCGGACCCTGCATTCACTATATCTGGTCTCCCCGGACCCTGCATTCACTATATCTGCTCCCCCGGACCCTGCATTCCTTATATCCGGTCTCCCCGGACCCTGCATTCACTATATCCGGTCTCCCCGGACCCTGCATTCACTATATCTGCTCTCCCACAGCACACACAACATGAAAATATAATTATTTTAGTAAATATAAACTACTAAATCCCTTTTCCCATCAGCAGTTAGAGCAGTCTTGTGACTTCTATCAGTGTCCAGCAGAGCACTGATTAAAACTTGTAGGAGGAGTTTTCATTTTGCTTTAGGAGGATGCAGAATCCCTGACCTCTGTCTGGGCAGTGCAGATTGGCCTTGTGCTGATCACATGCACTCTCCCAAAAAAAAAAAACCAAAAAAAAAAAAACCTCACTAGCAATACACACCAAACTGAGCATGTGCAGAGTGACTCCACACGATAAGTCTTATCAGGGGACAAGATGGGGACACTGGAAGAAGGGGAGGATCAGAGAAGACAGGATCAGACAGCCTTTTTACACAATGCAGAGGACTAACACCTTAGGTTCCACAGTGAGTATAACAAGCATGCTTTCCTGCATCTACAGACTGATTGTACTGTTGGGGGTTTAGTAACACTTTAAACTATGTGTAAATCCTCGCCTTGTAAAACAACCCATTCAGTTTAAAACAGAAGTGAAAGCATTTGTGTATAGATATTAAAGACATAATCAACACCTTTTTTTTTTATAAGTGATCACATCCCCCTGTTCATAGAGAGGTGGGAGAGGAGAAACAGCAGTACACTGATCTTCCCAGTGAATGACTGTGCAGGGTGTGTGTGTGCCAGGACAAGTCTGATCATTGGAGGAGAGCTGGCTAAGTTCCCATCACAGCTAGAGAACTGACCATGCTGTGCTCATGCCTAGTATGGTCATCTTTTAAAAGGAAAGCAGAGGGAATGGCAAGAACATCACGGATTTCACACAAAGGAAGCAATACAAAGATCAGGATTTCATACAAGTACAGCAGGCACATACCAGGAGTAGGAAATGTTGGCTTTACATATTCTTTAGACATTAGTAGCACTACGTACAGTGTTCAGCCACATGAGGAGTCTGGTGCATACTCACATGGAGGGTCTGGCGCATCGTACGCACACGGGGGGGGGGGGGGGGGGGGCACACGGGGGGGGGGGGGGCTGGCGCATCGTACGCACACAGGGGGGGGGGGGGGGGGGGCTGGCGCATCCTACGCACACAGGGGGGGGGGGGGGGGCTGGCGCATCCTACGCACACGGGGGGGGGGGGGGGGGCTGGCGCATCCTACACACGGGGGGGGGGGGGGGGGGGGGGGCTGGCGCATCCTACGCACACAGGGGGGGGGGGGGGGGGGGGGGGGGTCTGGGCATCCTACGCACACAGGGGGGGGGGGCTGCGCATCCTACGCACACAGGGGGGGGGGGGGGGGGGTCTGGCGCATCCTACGCACACACAGGGGGGGGTCTGGCGCATCCTACGCACACAGGGGGGGGGTCTGGCGCATCATACGCACACAAGGAGTCTTTTGCCACAATATGCCCCCCCCAAAAAAACCATGGCAGCGGTGGGATTTGAACCCACGCCTCCAGAGAGACTGGAGCCTAAATCCAGCAGCCTTAGACCGCTCGGCCACGCTACCTTGCTGAAAAATCTACAAACACTGTGTCCTTCCCAAAGAAGGAATTGATGTAAGTGCAAATATCTAATATTACTTCTCATCCATTTAGGCAAACGAGAAGTCTTGGGATATCCAATGTACACACACAAGGGCGGGTCTGGCGCATCGTACGCACACGGGGGCGGTCTGGCGCATCGTACGCACACGGGGGCGGTCTGGCGCATCGTACGCACACACTGGGCGGTCTGGCGCATCGTACGCACACAGGGGCGGTCTGGCGCATCGTACGCACACAGGGGCGGTCTGGCGCATCGTACGCACACACGGGGCGGTTGGCGCATCGTACGCACACACGGGGCGGTCTGGCGCATCGTACGCACACACGGGGCGGTCTGGCGCATCGTACGCACACACGGGGCGGTCTGGCGCATCGTACGCACACACGGGGCGGTCTGGCGCATCGTACGCACACACGGGGCGGTCTGGCGCATCGTACGCACACACGGGCGGTCTGGCGCATCGTACGCACACAGGGGCGGTCTGGCGCATCGTACGCACACAGGGGCGGTCTGGCGCATCGTACGCACACGGGGGCGGTCTGGCGCATCGTACGCACACGGGGGGGGGGGGGGGGGGGGGTCTGGCGCATCCTACGCACACGGGGGGGGGTCTGGCGCATCCTACGCAACACAGGGGGGGGGGGGGCTGGCGCATCCTACGCACACAGGGGGGGGGGGGGGGGGGGGGGCTGGCGCATCCTACGCACACAGGGGGGGGGGGGGTCTGGCGCATCCTACGCACACAGGGGGGGGTCTGGCGCATCCTACGCACACATGGGGGGGGGGTCTGGCGCATCATACGCACACAAGGAGTCTTTTGCCACAATATGCCCCCCCAAAAAAAAAACCATGGCAGCGGTGGGATTTGAACCCACGCCTCCAGAGAGACTGGAGCCTAAATCCAGCGCCTTAGACCGCTCGGCCACGCTACCTTGCTGAAAAATCTACAAAAACACTGTGTCCTTCCCAAAGAAGGAATTGATGTAAGTGCAAATATCTAATATTACTTCTCATCCATTTAGGCAAACGAGAAGTCTTGGGATATCCAATGTACACACACAAGGGCGGTCTGGCGCATCGTACGCACACGGGGGCGGTCTGGCGCATCGTACGCACACGGGGGCGGTTCTGGCGCATCGTACGCACACACTGGGCGGTCTGGAAGGCGCATCGTACGCACACAGGGGCGGTCTGGCGCATCGTACGCACACAGGGGGCGGTCTGGCGCATCGTACGCACACACGGGGCGGTCTGGCGCATCGTACGCCACACACGGGGCGGTCTGGCGCATCGTACGCACACACGGGGCGGTCTGGCGCATCGTACGCACACACGGGGCGGTCTGGCGCATCGTACGCACACACGGGGCGGTCTGGCGCATCGTACGCACACACGGGGCGGTCTGGCGCATCGTACGCACACACGGGGCGGTCTGGCGCATCGTACGCACACACGGGGCGAGTATGAAGGTCTCTGGCGTCTGGCGCATCGTACGCACACACGGGGCGGTCTGGCGCATCGTACGCACACACGGGGCGGTCTGGCGCATCGTACGCACACACGGGGCGGTCTGGCGCATCGTACGCACACACGGGGCGGTCTGGCGCATCGTACGCACACACGGGGCGGTCTGGCGCATCGTACGCACACAGGGGCGGTCTGGCGCATCGTACGCACACAGGGGCGGTCTGGCGCATCGTACGCACACAGGGGCGGTCTGGCGCATCGTACGCACACAGGGGCGGTCTGGCATCGTACGCACACACAGGCGGTCTGGCGCATCGTACGCACACAGGGGCGGTCTGGCGCATCGTACGCACACAGGGGCGGTCTGGCGCATCGTACGCACACAGGGGCGGTCTGGCGCATCGTACGCACACAGGGGCGGTCTGGCGCATCGTACGCACACAGGGGCGGTCTGGTGCATCATTTACACATGGAGGGTTTGGTGCATTTTAAGCACACAAGGGGGGTCTGGCGCATTGTATACACATGTGCTCTCTGGGGTACACAAATCTGCCCCACAATGTACCACCTATTCAGTGCTATGGTGTGCAGCCGTATGGAGTTCTGTTTGGCACAGAAATCTTGTGAATGAAGGAACGCTGGTCAGGAAGCTTTGACAGGTCACAATAGCCAGAAGAAACCCCACCAAAGCACAAGGAGAACATGCAGATAGTGCAGTGGTTGGAACCAATGACCCCAGTGCTGCAAAAGTATTTTTTGCCACTGTATGGCCCAAAAAGGAAAACTGGCAGCGGTGGGATTCGAACCCACGCCTCCAGAGAGACTGGAGCCTAAATCCAGCGCCTTAGACCGCTCGGCCACGCTACCTTGCTGGAAAAGCTACAAGCACTGTGTCCTTCCCAAAGAAAGAATTTATGCTAAGTGCAAACATCTGATATTACATCTCATCTATTTATACGAAGAAGTCTTGGGGCATCCAAAAGCAGTCCCAACCGAGTGGTGGGCAACAGCAAATATGCCTTCAGACACAATACACAACAAAAAAAACAGAAAAAACTGGGAACTGCCTGCTGCTCAACAGCCACCCAAAGGGCCAACACCTGAATCAGACACCAGATGAAGCCTGGACCCCCTTCCTGGTTACCAGATGAAGCCTGGACCCCCTTCCTGGTTATCCTGAAAACTTTTTTGCTTGCTAGTGTCCAATCCTCCAGTAGGAGGCAGTAAAATCCGACAGCAGATGACTGCCGGAGTCCCTCAGTGAACAAGAAAGAAATATTAAAGCAGAGCTCCACCCAAAAGGGGAAGTTCTGCTTTGAGACATCCTCCCCCCCCTCCTCTGCCTAACCTGGCATGCAATTTTGGAGAAGGGGGGAGGAGGGTAGGGGGAGAGGGGAGGAGGAAGGGAGAGGAGGAGGAAGGGAGAAGGAGGAGGAAGGGAGAAGGGGGGAGGAAGGGAGAAGAAGGGGGAGGAAGGGAGAGGGGGAGGAGGGGGAGGAGGGAGGCACGGTGGAGGGGAGGGGGAGGGGGAGGAAGGGAGGGGAGGGGAGGGGACGGGGGAGGGGCAGGAGAGGAGGGAGGGGCAGGGGAGGGGCAGGGAGGGAGGGGAGGGGCAGGGGGAGGGAGGGGGCAGGGGAGGGGCATGGGAGGAGGGGCATGGGAGGGGCGGGGGGGGCAGGGGTAGGGGCAGGGGAGGGCGGGAGGGGGGGTAGGGGCAGGGTTGAGGGCGGGAGGGGGGGAGAAGGTGCGGGGGAGTAAAATCCGACAGCAGATGACTGCTGGAGTCTCTCAGTGAGGAAGAAAGGAATATTTAAGTAGAGCTCCACCCAAAAGGGGAAGTTCTGCTTTAAGACATTCTACCCCCCCCCACCCCCCCCCCCCTCTGCCTAACCTGGCATACAATTTTGGAGGAGAGAGAGGGGAAGGGGAGGAGGGTGAGGGAGGGAGGGGTGAGGAGGAGGAGGAGGAGGGAGAGGAGGAGGGAGGGTGAGGGGGAGGAGAGGAGGGTGAGGAGGGGGAGGAGGAGGAGGGAGGGAGAGGGGGGGAGAGGGGGGAGGGGGGAGGAGAGGAGGGGGTGAGGGAGGAGGAGAGGGAGAGGAGGAGGAGAGGGAGAGGAGGAGGAGGGGAGAGGAGAGGAGGGGGGGAGAGGAGAGGAGGGGGAGGGGTGGAGGAGAGGAGGAGAGGAGGGGGAGGGAGAGAGGAGGGGGAGGAGAGGAGGGGGAGGGAGGAAGGGAGGAGGGGAGGGGGAGAAGGGGGGGGAGGGGGAGAAGGAGCGGATACATAATTTTGACAGGTACCCGCTCCCACATCCATTTGGATCGCCTAGGCGATCAGTGTGGAACTTTTCCTTCCCCCCTCCCTCACCGCCGTCTTCTGGGACACGTGGCAGGTGCGGGACCCATTCACAAAGCGCAGCGCAGTGGGCACCCGGCTTTGAAACTGAAAGCCACACAGCCAGCTGGCCACGGATAGGATGATGGCACCAGGAATCTGGAGGCTAGTGGAGAACTAGCCCAAGGTGAGGACAGCGCTGGATCCTAGGACAGGTAAGTGTTCATTTACTAAAAATCATCAGCTTCAATATTTTGTATTGTATTTTCTCTACAGACTGAACCTCGGCTTTACCATTCTAACAGAACATACATGCAGAGACAATACATCCCCATAAACACCCGCTGAGAACACCAAACAGTACATTGTAATGGCAAATAGTAGAAAAGGTGAGCACTGGGCAATAATGGGAAGCAGCTTGCACAATAGGCAGGTAACAATCCCCAAAATTGAATATGTAAACAAGTGCAGCGCTAAAGGTACTAAAATGAAACAAAATGCATCACATGAAGAGACGTATCATTATATGCCAAAACGGAACAATAAAGTGCATTGTGTAAGAGGGCAGAAAATGATCCAATAATAGACAATATTAATTTTTATTACCCGTAATATTCTGTTATTCATTTACTACTTTTTATTTGTATTGCATATGATATTGCGCAATACTACGGACATTATCACATTACCTATGTTTTTTATGAGGCACTTTATAATTTTTATTTATTGAAGTATTTCCTCTTGATTGTTTTTTTTTACACTTTTATATGATGCGCTTTGCAGTTCCACATTACTCTCAGTTTTTAATGCATTAATTGTTCTATTTTATCATGTGATTTAAGGATCATTTTCTGCACTCTTACATGATGCGCTTTATTGTTCCATTTTGGCATATATTAATACATCTTTTATGTGATGCACTTTGTTTCATTTTAGTACCTTTAGCGCTGCACTTGTTTATACAGTACATTGTAATGACTTGTGCACTTTACCGGTGTGTATTGCAGACCCTTTTTTGTGGATATTTTTTGGCTGCATACAGTGGGGATCGAAAGTTTGGGCACCCCAGCTAAAAATTTGTATTAATGTGCATAAAGAAGCCAAGGAAAGATGGAAAAATCTCCAAAAGGCATCAAATTACAGATCAGACATTCTTATAATATGTCAACAAAAGTTAGATTTTATTTCCATCATTTACACTTTCAAAATAACAGAAAACAAAAAAATGGCGTCTGCAAAAGTTTGGGCACCCTGCAGAGTTAATATCTTGTACTGCCCCCTTTGGCAAGTATCACAGCTTGTAAACGCTTTTTGTAGCCAGCCAAGAGTCTTTCAATTCTTGTTTGAGGTATCTTTGCCCATTCTTCCTTACAAAAGTCTTCCAGTTCTTTGAGATTTCTGGGCTGTCTGTCACACACTGCTCTGTTAAGGTCTATCCATAGATTTTCAATTATGTTGAGGTCAGGAGATTGTGAAGGCCATGGCAAAACCTTCAGTTTACGCCTCTTGATGTAATCCCCCGTGGATTTCGAGGTGTGTTTAGGATCATTATCCATTTGTAGAAGCCATCCTCTCTTTAACTTCAGCTTTTTCACAGATGGCATCAAGTTACCATCCAAAATTTGCTAAAATTTTATTGAATCCATTTTTCCTTCTACTCGTGAGATGTTCCCTGTGCCACTGGCTGCAACACAACCCCAAAGCATGATTGATCCAACCCCATGCTTAACAGTTGGACAGAGGTTCTTTTCATTAAATTCTGTGCCCCTTCTTCTCCAAACGTACCTTTGGACGTACCTTGCTCATTCCGGCCAAAAAGTTCAATTTTAACCTCATCGGTCCACAGAACTTGTTTCCAAAATGCATCAGGCTTGTCTATATGTTCATTTGCAAAGCTCAAATGATGATTTTTGTGGTGAGGATGTAGAAGAGGTTTTTCTTCTGATGACTCTTCCATGAAGACCATATTTGTACAAGTATCTCTTTATAGTGGAATAGTGTACCACAACTCCAGTGTCTGCCAGATCTTTCTGCAGGGATCGTGCAGTCAAACGTGGGTTTTGAATTGTTTTTCTCACAATCCTGCGAGCTGTTCTGTCTGATATTTTTCTTGGTCTTCCAGATCTTGCTTTAACTTCCACTGTTCCTGATGACTGCCATTTCTTAATTACATTCCGAACAGAGGATATTGACATCTGAAAACGCTTTGCTATCTTCTTATAGCCTTCTCCAGCTTTGTGAGCGTCAACTATTTTCAGTTTCAGTTTTCTAGACAACTGCTAAGAAGAACCCATGGTGCTGATTGTTGGGGCAAGGTCAGATGAGTCTGGGCATTTAAAAACCTTTGAGATTGACATCACCTGGTCTTCCCAGACGATGATTGAGAACAATCCATGAACTGGCAGGTCTCAGCTTTGCAAAGGGGGCAGTGCATGCTATAAATTCTGCAGGGTGCCCAAACTTTTGCAGACGCCATTTTTTGTTTTCTGTTATTTTGAAAGTGTAAATGATGGAAATAAAATCTAACTTTTGTTGACATATTATAGGAATGTCTAATCTGTAATTTGATGCCTTTTGGAGATTTTTCCATCTTTCCTTGGCTTCTTTATGCACATTAATACAAATTTTTAGCTGGGGTGCCCAAACTTTCGATCCCCACTGTATAAAAGACAAGAATGTTTAATTATTTGCTGTGTTTCTGCATAACCCCTTCCATACCCATTTGGGTATTCTTTATGCCCCCTCAGTAGTTAAAGTGCTCTCACCGTGCTGTAGATCTGGTGCAGGACATCCCGTGCATTGGCTACACTCAGATCTGTGTTCATCACCATCTTTAGACCGCTCGGCGTCTCGTAGTAGTGCAGCTTGTACTTGCTGGTCTGGAAGGAGAGGAAGCCATCTTTCCTGCAGCCAGGAGTTAAGGAAGATCATGCTTCTGTGTGCCCTTCCTTTTCCGGGATGACTCTGGGATGCTCATTTCCCTAACAAACTCCAGCCCTCCTTGCACAGATGTACAGACCGCTCTCCTGGATTCAATTTGCCTCCTTCACCATCACCGAGCCTTTCCTTCCCAGCTTGACTATCCCTGACCTGTCATTTTTTTTTTAAATTGGATTTCAGTTCTTTCAATCATGGAGGCTCAGCATCACACATGAGTGTTACCGAGGGTGGTCTACATGTACATACAGCCTGCCTAGGAACACCCACTCTTCCTGACTGACGTCCACCCATCAAGTCATTTTGATATTTGCTTAACCACTTCCAGTCCGCACACTTTCCCCCCCTTCCAGTCCAGTCCGGACGCTTCCCCCCCCTTCCAGTCCGGACGCTTTCCCCCCCTTCCAGTCCGGACGCTTTCCCCCCCTTCCAGTCCGGACGCTTTCCCCCCCCCCTTCCAGTCCGGACGCTTTCCCCCCCTTCCAGTCCGGACGCTTTCCCCCCCTTCCAGTCCGGACGCTTTCCCCCCCCTTCCAGTCCGGACGCTTTCCCCCCCCTTCCAGTCCGGACGCTTTCCCCCCCTTCCAGTCCGGACACTTTCCCCCCTTCCAGTCCGGACACTTTCCCCCCCTTCCAGTCCGGACACTTTCCCCCCCTTCCAGTCCGGACACTTTCCCCCCCTTCCAGTCCGGACACTTTTACCCCCTTCCAGTCCGGACACTTTCCTCCCTTCCAGTCCGGACACTTTCCCCCCCCTTCCAGTCCAGGCCAATTTTCAGCTTTCAGCGCTATCACACTTTGAATGACAATTGCGCGGTCATGCAACACTGTACCCATATGAACTGTTTAGCTTTTCTTTGAGACAGATAAAAAACTTTATTTTGGTGGTATTTATTCACCGCTGGGATTTTTATTTTTTTGCTATATAAATGAAAATGTCCAACAATTTTGAAAAAAAAGTTTTTCTTATAAAATTTTGCAAATAAATAATCTTTCTTCATAAATCTTGGCCAAAATTTATTCAGTTATCTTTTAGTAAAAAATAAAATAACCCAAATTAGTTTAGAACTAAAAATTCTAATTTCAAAAATTTTTTTTTACATTTTTATATTTTTTATTTATGATATTTTTTATAAAATACTGTCACCCTAGCAGTACAGTGTCACCATAGTGTCACTGTACTACTTGTGGGGGGTAATGAAGATTTTTTTTTTTTTTTACACTGACTGCTTTTACACCCATAAAGGCTGTAAAAGCAATCATTTCTCCTCCTCTCTGGCTGCATTCTTGCAGCCATTGAGAAATACTGTGAGAGCTGTGATTGGTCACAGCTTGTCACATGGTACAAGGCTGTTGTGTATGGCCTTGTACCATGTGACCTCTGTGATCATTCACAGATTTCACACATAGTAAGCAATGATGTCAGAAGTGACATCTTGCTTACTACTAATCATGTGATCAGTGATTGGCCAATCAGTGATCACATGATCGGGTCCTCACACAGATCGGTGTTCTGTTGTGTCCTCCGGGCACCGGATGTCGGTGCCGCGCGCTCCCTGGGAAATGGGGGGTGCCGTTTATGAACGGCAACCTGCCCCTGCACTGCCCCCTTCTGGCCGTTTATATTCAAGGGACGGACGGGAAGTGGTTACACTCCAGCCCTCCCTTGCACAGATGTACAGACTGCTCTCCTGGACTCAATTTGCCTCCTTCAGCATCACCTAGCCCTTTTCCTTCCCAGCTTGACTATCCCTGGCCTATCAGTGTTACCGGGGGTGGGTCTACATGTACACACAGCCCACCTAGGAACGCCCACTCTTCCAGACTGACATCCACCCATCAAGCCATTTTGATATTTGCATAAAGTGATTGTAAACCTTTACATATACCCAGTGAAGTGAATGGCCTCAGGTGATACACAGAGATGGTAAAATCCTCCTACATAAGTTGTACCTGGTTATCTGCAGCTGTCTGTCCTCTACATCCTTTCAAAGTCCAGAATTTTTACAGCTTGTCTGAGCTTTCAGAAAACAGGGGGAGGAGAGCTGAATTTACACTCTGCAGAGCTCAGTAAAGAACTTTGAGGGCTGATTGGAGGGGAAGAAACATACCCCCTTTTCACACAGCTCACATGATTTATAAAGCTTGTCTGAGAGTTCAGAAAAAATGAGCGGGGAGCTGAAAATACACGCTTTGAGGAGAGCACTGGGAGCGGATTGGAGGAAAGACCCCCTTCACACAGCTCACAGGAACAGAGCTGAGGCTGTCAATCTGCTGGAGCTCCCTCCCCATCACCTTTCTCTTGGTGTCAGGAAAACTTGTCAGAGGTGATTCATGCTGACAGCAGAGGAACGAAGCAGCAAACAGAAATGACACTTAGTACTGTGGATTGAGACAAGAACGCACTATAGAGGTATATCCTTTGTTCATTTTTACATGTCTCTGGTTTAAACCACTTTAAAGCAGAAATAAACCCTTTAATGGTTTCCTAAAACAGTTAAATTCAAGGCATGCCAGGAATGATAACCGTCACATTTGCTTTTGCCCTCAACCGAACTGTCAAGTTACCAAGTGGCTGGTGTCATAACTGATCACTTGTGCAACATCATGGCAACTGCAGATCAGACACGAGCTAAGATGGCAGCTTCCTTTGCTGTAAAGCATAAGAGGGATTAGTTACGCTTTAACTCATCCCAAGAGCCAGCCCTCTGCTTGCATCAGGGCTGAGGACTCTTCAGAGGAGTACCAAGGCAGGGTGCTGTAATGTTTTCTGGAAGCCATGTACATTGCCCAGCTGACCCCTCCCATCAGCCATGATCTGCCTGCAATACATAGAGATGCACTGATTTTTTTTTTTTTTAACCGCATGCCACCCCAGCCACTGTACATATACGGCGGCAGGGCGGCACTCACAGGCAAAACCACGTTTTAAAACGTATGTTTTGTAAACAAATAGGGGGTGCGCGCTAGGCACGCTGCCGCCCTATTTGTCCTGTGGATCACCGCCGCAGATGTCAGTTGCCGAGTCACAGCCGCTCATTAGCGGCTATGTCCCGGCGATCGGCGGTAAACGGTGACAGAGAGCACAGCTGCAGTAGCTGTGCTTTCTGTCACTTCCTTGTCAGCTCGAGGATGAGCTGATCGAGAAAGAATAGTTTCACTTTCTCAATCAGCCTTGTCCCGCCCAGTACACACCCCGCCCCCCCTAGTAAAACACTCCCCCTCACTCCTATAACCCTTCCCTGCTAAATAAAGTTAACCCCTTCCTCCCCATTGCCATTAGTACAGTGTCAGTTTTTTTTTTTTTGCACTGATCACTGTATTAGTGTTTTTGGGGATGTCAGTGACCCCAAGTCAGTACCCCCCAATGTCAGTATGTCCGCCGCAGTCCCGCCATAAGTCGCTGGTCGCTGCCATAAGTCACTGATCGCCGCCATAATTCGCTGATCGCCGCCATTATTAGTATAAAAAAAAACCTAAAAATCCCAGTATCTTTCCCGCCATTTGTAAACGCTATAACTTTCACGTAAACCAATTAATTTGCACGTATTGGGGTTTTTTTTTAGCAAAGACATGTTGCAGAATGCATTTTGGCAGAAATTTATGACTAAATTTGATTTTTGCATTTTTTTTTTACTGGACATGTTTTATAGCAAAAAGTCCAAAATATAGGTTTTTTTCCCTCAAAATTGTCAGCCTTTTTTTTTTTTTTTTATAGCGCAAAAAATAAAAACCGCACAGGCGATCAAATATCACTGAAAGAAAGCTCAATTTGTGGGGAAAAAAAGGATGTAAATTTCATGCATGTACCGTATTGCATGACCGCGCAATTGTCCGTTAAACTAGCGCAGCGCTGTATAGCAGAAAAATGGCGTAAATTGCAGTATCTATACCATAGTTTGTAGACTATAACTTCCACACAAAGCAATCAATATACACTTATTGGGATTTTTTTTTACCAAAAACATGGAGCAGAATACATTTTGGCCTAAATTTATAACCAATTTTGAGTTTACTATATATTATTTATAGCTGAAAGTAAAAAATATTGTTTTTCTTCAAAATTTTTGGCGTTTTTTTGTTTATAGCGTGAAAAATAAAAAGCGCACAGGTGATCAAATTACACCGAAAGAAAGCTCTATTTGTGTGAAAAAAAGGACGTAAATTTCGTTTGGGTGCAGCATTGCATGACCGCGCAATTATCAGTTGAATTAGTGCAGCGCCAAGTAGCAAAAAGAGGCCTGGTCATTAAGGGGGGTAAATCCTCTGGAGCTCAAGTGGTTAAGTCCGCGAACATGCGAAAAAAACGAAAAAAAAACCCGTAAGTGTTCACAAAAAACACGCAAGTGCAAAACACCACACAAAAAAATGTGCACTTAGGGGTGTGCTTTGTCCTTCCCCCGAAGGGGATGGACCTCTACCCTGATCCCCCGAGGCACGAAGCTCTTGACAGGGACAAGGTTCCTATTTGGTCCACCTAGCCAAAAGGCCTGGTGGACCACCGTTCCTTGTGGCCAGCCGAAGCCAGCCACTCAGTACTTGGTAAGGGGGCCTCTCCTGAAGAGAAAACCCCCCAGGGACAGGGGAGGAAGGAACCAAAAGGCCACACATCCTCCCCCTAGACTTCAGGGCAGGCCCGAGGACCCACACCCTCCATCCTGGGAGAAAACACACACATAAGTAAAGAAAAAGTGACAAAACGTGGGAGTGAAATAAATAGAAAATAAAAAAAAAAGTGGTCGTGCCAAATTGTGCACAGACCAGGCCCTGAGGCCTGTAGCAAAAATTGCCCTGAACTTAGCCATAAGGCCCGGTCCTAAGGGCGCTGTGCAGAAAAAGTGGTAAATCAGTGACCATGTGCCATCTTCACACTGTGGGGTCCCACACCCAGGTGCTACTCAGGGCACCCCTGAGGCGACAACTCAGGGGGCACTGGTTTGCGGACTTTCTGCCTTCCCGGCCCCTGG